TGGGGGGTGGTGGGGGTGTCTCTACCAGGGCTGGTCAGGATTGTCTATGTGTGTGCGCGCGCGCATGTATGTGTCTGCACGTACGCATTTCTCTACGAGGGCCTATAGGCTAAGCCACATTTCAATACTGGGCTGTGGCCCTGCCACAGTGCGAACAACTGCTGCTTGATGGCAGCGGGGGTTCCAGGTGCAGAGAAGCAGGGAAGGGCCACAGTCTCAAAGCTCAGTGTTCAGCAGCCCAGGGAGAGGCCACGAGGCTCTGAGCCCAGCCCAGGAGCACGCTTACCTCTGGGGGCACCAACCTGATGCAAAGTCTTCGGTGCGAGGTGCCCCGAGAGGCCGCTCCCCTCCAGGCTGCTCAGGCTGCTCTGGTGAGAGGCTGAGGCCTTGGTACCCACTGGGTTGGGTGGCACACCAGGCCCCAGAGCAGCTGCCTCAGTTTTGCCCAGGCCCGGCAGGTGCCTGTTTCTGGCCTTGGATGTCTGGGAGCCTGGTGGCATCCTGGAGACCATCTGCTCCACATTCTCCCTGGCAGGAAGGAGAAAAACACATCCCTGAGGCCTGGCCTGACCCTGGGGTTCAGCCTACCCTGGAACAAGGCCTGGAGGCAGACACCCATGGGTACCCATCCTGGCTCTGGTACCTTTCAGCCATGTGACCCCAGGTAAGGCATCTCCCCTCTCTGGGCCTCATTTTTTTTTAACTGTAAAATGAGGATGTCAGCACAATCCTTTCCAGCAATGCACCCAAGCAGAACACCGTGGAAGCAGGAAGTGACACAGCGCTTCCCAGATTGGGCATTCCTGTACTGTCTTCCTGCTTCTGCCATCTCCATGGATTCTCAGTGGAACAAAAGACTGTGCTACTAGTATCTGTGGAAGGCCAGGATTTTGTGTTACAAATAGAAACGAGCTTTGGAAATAAATAGGGGGAAAGCATGGAGACAGCAGCACATTTGGATAGATCCGGTTTTCTGGTCCAGGCTCTGTGCTGAGCCCTGCTTGTGGGCTGGCCTATGGCTGTGTCTCAGTCTCCGTCCGTCTGTCTCTGACTCTGTCTCCATCCCCCAAAACAGAACACTAGCTGCCACTTTTTCCCTGACATCACTAGGAGCTTGGAGAAGGAAAAGGAGGATAATGTCACTTTTTGCTGCCTCTGCCCTGCTCCAAACCCTGTCCCCAGGCAGCCAGGGGCACTTCTGGTTCTCTCGGTGGCCCACGTCTCACTGCAGAGAGATGGGCTGGGCTGGCCATGTCCACACTGGGAAGAGCCGCCCAGCTCCCCATGACAACTGCCATCCCTGTGGCTTCGGGTGGTGTGGGTCACACAGGGGCTCAGTGACTTACTGGGGAGGGGCCCTGGGACTTCGCTCAGTCCGTGCCAGGTGTCGCCTTGGAGGAACCCTGGTGGCTTCCACTTTGCCTGCAGCTGAAGCTGGTCCACTGCCTCCCAGGGTGTGAAGACCCTCTTCCTCTGCCTGCTCCTTCTCTTCCTCTGCTTCTTCCTCTCCTTCCTCCTCCTCGCCCCACTGCTCCTTGTCCTCCTCCACCCGCAGGGCTTCCGGGAGGGACCTCACACTGAGGTACCTGCAGAAAGAACAAAGGCAGGGCTGTGGCCTCTGCCCAGGGAACAGCTGTGCCCCAGATGGCCCGTGAGCAGGCTGATGGCCTCCCTCGTGGAGGGCGCTCACCGCTCCAGGAGGCCGTGGAAGTCCTGCTCCATTTGCAGCTCCTTGTGCCTGAGTGGGGCAGGGAGATCCCTCGGGCTGAGCTCTGTCTCGCTGGAGCCAGGGCTCTCTTCTCCATCCCTGTGCAGCGGGCAGGGGCCTGGGGTGGGCTGAGCCTAGAGACAGGGCCGAGGTTAAACACGGCTTCCCTAGCATCTGCCAGTACTTGGCTGCTGCTGTGGGCTGCAGAACAAGACCTGAGTCCGCCTCCCCAGCCCACCACCATTTTGGGGTGTGCAGAACGCAGAAACCGGGCCACGCGATCTGTGGTACTGGCTGCCGTGAACCGAGTACTTATGTGCAGGCCCCAGACAGACACAACTTCTCACCAATGCCACCCCACATTTGTGCCACTTTACAGACAGGTAACTGGGGCTCCCATGATTTGTTCAAAGCCACACAGAAGCGAGGGGCAGATTCAAACCCAGACTTCCTGCCAGATGTATCTTTCTTCCTCTCCCCATTCCAGCCTGGCCATCCTAGCCCCCTTCCCTGCAGGATCACGGGGGCCCTCAAGATGGCACGCTCAGGAGTCCCTATTTGTGCCCGTGGCCCCTGCCCAGAGCACTGTAGAGAATCTGTCCCAAGCCCAGGGCCGGTGCTTACATACTGCCAGGCCAGCCAGCCCTGGCTCCTTCCATCTGAACTGCTGCTGTCTCCTCACCCTGCTCTGACCCTCAGTGGCTTTGCAGGGCAGGAGCAAGAAGCTTGGAGGCACAGGCACGCTGCCATTGTCATCCGTGTGACTGCACTACACTTGCCTGCAGAAGGGGGGCGCTGTGACATGGGTGGAGAGACTTGAGCCAAGCCCTTCCACACACTCCAGCCTGGTGTCTCCCACCTGTGCACAGTACTTTGAGGAAGGCTGGGCTCATCCTTAGCCCTTCCCTCTCTCTGACCCTCCAAATCCAGTCAAATACACCTTCTATGGAATTTTTTTTTTTTGTGGTACCTGGGATTGAACTCAGGACCTTCAGCTTGTGAGGCAAGTGGTGGAACCACTGAGCTAAATCCCCTGCCCTTCAAATGCACCTTCTAAACCTCTCTCAAGTCCATGCACATTTCTCCCTCTGCCCTGCTGTCTCCCTCACCTCAGACTGGTCTACCCACAGATCTCCTATGTCATTCCCTGCTGAAAACACAAGAAGAGTTTAAGACCATGCCCTTGATGCTACCCAAACTCCCACATTTTGAGGCCCCTGCCTGCCTCTTCAGCCACATCTCAGACCATCAGCCCCTCACTTTCCATATGTTGGCCACAGGGCCTTTGCACAGGCAATTTCCTTGCTGGATGCTTTTCCTCTGCTGCACTAGTAATTCCTACTTACTCTCAGATCTCATTTGATCCTCAGTTCTTCAGGGACAGTTTCTTTGACAGTCCTATGGACCTGCTTCTAAGCTCAGAGAACCCATAATTCTAGAGCATAGATCAAAATGATAATTAAATAACTGTGCAACTAGTTCAACTATTCCAAAAACTCCATGAGGGTGGAGGTCCCCGTCCCTGCCTCTCCCCACCCCACTGAATGACTCAAATGTCATGGGGTTTGGCTTGTGGCACACATTTCATAAATAATTCATGTGAAGTGGCCGAATGATAACAGCCCACTGTTAGAGACAAAGAGTTACCTCCAGGTGCGGGGTTGGGAGGGCTGGCATGGATGCTTGTCCCGGAGGAGCAGGCAGGGGCACTGGTGGGTGGGAGAGCCACGTGTCCAGAGCCACAGCTGCCCCGCACAGCTCGGGCTCCCACTGCGTTGGGTCCTTCAGCTCCTCCAGGCGGATTCCCAGGTGATAAATCTCTGCCTCCAGCTCCCTGGAATGGGCAAAGATCCGCACCTAGAGCCTGGGGCAGCAGCAACACTGGGCAGACCCGGGAGGCCGTGCCTCAGGGCAGCGGCCTGGGGGACACCCATTCGGGGTCCACATAATGCCATCCTCTGGTGATGCTGAGAACCGGAAATAAACGAGATGAAGGAAAACTCCACTGGGAGTCCGGAGCCTCAGCCGTGATCGCCTCTGCCATGCCCAGGCTGGGAGACCTTATGTAAATCCAAACCCACTGCCTCAGTTTCCCCATTGGCCAGCCAGAGGTTTCAGCTCTTATCTCCAAGGTGCCTTCTCACTGCTGTGCATAAAGGGACATAAATCTGAGTTTCCAGGTGTCCCATTGTTTGGGCGTGTTGCTAATTGGCAGGTGCTTTCTCTCTGCTCCCCTTGGGTACAAATTAGGAGGAGGAAAAAGCACCTTGCTCCTGGTGACCGCAGGAACCCCGGGCCTGTCCCATCCGTCCCCTGGGGGCCTCCCCAGCGTACCTGCCAGGATCGAATTTCCCTGGTGTCCCCTGGGAGTTCCCAAGCTGGGGGGCCAGGGGCAGCTCTCTGCAGGCCCTCAGGTACTCCTCCTCCAGCGCCGCGTGGGCAGCCCTCAGCCGCAGGAAGCCCTGGAACAGACAGGCCGGGAGCCCTGAGTGCCCCGCCCTGCAGCCTGTGGGGTGTGGGGCTCCTTGGGATCCCGGCGGATGGGGGTAGGGGCTGGGAACCTCTGGGTGTTGCCTGCCTTGGGCGAGCTCTCTGCCATCTGAACGGCATGGCAAAGGCAGGACTTAGGGCTCAGCACCAGCCCTTCCTGTGCAGGGACCAAATGTACCACGACAGTTGTGGCGTGGAACAGATTTTCACCACGTCCCTACACGATCCAATACGCCAGAGTCCCTGGATATTCCTTCATGATTCGCACAACTGTGGGTTTGCAAAAGCCAATCGCATCCCTCTCTTCCCAAGTCCATACAGACCGCAGAGACAGAGGGTGCTGCCACAGCAGATTCTGAGGATGACGAACGCTGCCCACAGAGGCACTCTGCGTTTATTCATCTTCAGTGTGATCCCTTTTTTTTTTTTTTTTTTTTGGTACTGGGGATTTGGGGATTGAACTCGGGTCTTTGCGCTTGCGCAGCAGGCAGCGAAACCACTGAGCTAAATCCCTGGCCCTTCAGTGTGATCCTAACCAGAGGCCTACTTTATCATTTTCACTAGAACAAGATGCAATCAAGGCGCAGGGAGGTTACCTAGGTCAGTGAAGGGCTCACAGTAACTGGGCAAATTGTACAACTGAGTTTTGAACCCAGGTCCTCTGGCTCCAGAGTGCACTGCCCTAACAGTTATGCTAGCCACCCCAGTAAACGTGACCAAGGTTAATCCATGGCTAAAAGTGCAGGAGGTGGGTGCACTGTCCCGGGCTTCCCATCCCCTTCCCGCTCAACTCTGAGGACAGACCGAGGCTAGGGCAGCCTAGAGTCTAGTGCCCAGCCATGCTTGGTCTCCCCAAGCTCTGCATATGGGGGAAAGGAGTCAGGGAATAAGACAGGAGTAATTTCTTTTTTTTGTTTTTGTTGTTTTGGTCATTTTGTTTTGTTTTGTTTTGTTTTTGGTACTGCGGATCCAACTCAGGACCTTTCTCTTGCGAGGCAGGCAGCGGAACCACTGAGCTAAATCCCCGGCCCCTCATTTTGTTGTTTTGGCAATAAAGATGGATCTGGAGGAAATTATGTTAATGAAAGAAGCCAGGCTGGAAAAGACAAATATCACAAGTTCTCACCTAGAGGTGGAAGGTTAAAAAAAAAAAGTCTCTTTCCAGTCTGTGATTTCTGGAGTCTGGGACGGTGGAGGGGAGGAGACAGATCGTGGGTTCAAACTGCAGAAAGTAAGTCAGTCCTAGTGATCTACAGCCCAGGGGGCAGACTACAGTCCACAGTAACTTAGACTTTATAAAGAGCTAGAGGGCAGGTGTGCTTAGGGCCCCATAAAAATGATACATGCTTAGGGATTTATGCTCAGCCTGTTTTGATCATTACACATTGTACTCATGTAGCAAATGATCACTGTCTCCCACAATTAGACGCAATTATCAGGTGTCAATGAAGACTTTTTAAAGAAATGATTTTGATCAGCCATCTGTTTGATGCTACATGTATGATGTCTACCCAACAGCCTAGGGAACACACCATGCATCTCTTTTTTTTTTTGGTACTGGGGATCAAACTTGGGTCCTTGAGCTTGCGATGTAGGTGGCGGAACCACTGAGCTAAATCCCCGGCCCTACGCCATGCATCTCTCTATGAACCAGGGTCCTGGCTTGGCTGCTCTGGCCCTCGTCCTGTGCTGCTTCCCCTACTGCTCTGTGCCTGGCTCCCTGCTGCTGCCTGCTGGCCAGGACTGTCCAGTGGGAGGGACGACAAGAGGTCCCAGGGTGGGAGCAGAGAGCTGGGGGGTGGGAACGGCTCTAGGGGGTCCTTGCAGGGTCCCCTGACTCTGCCCATGCCTGTGCCACCCCTGCCCTTGACCCCTACACTCCTGCTGGAGAGGTCTGGCTGCCCCTTCCAGGGCCCTGGTGGAGGCAGCAGGGGGCTGCCCTGAATAGATGTGGCTGCAGGTATCGGCACCTCCAAGCCCAAAAGGAAAGGAGCCCATCGAGGTTGGACTAAGGGTCTCTTCCCACCTATTGACCCCAGTTTCCAAACTTTCGGCAACCACTTTTATAATGGAAAAAAAAAAGGGAGGGCTAAAAAAGAAAGGCCTCTTCTGGTGGCTTCGAGGCAGGTCCATCAGCAGGAGCAGAGGGGGGCCGAGGTCACAACCCTGGGCGTGGGAGGCAGGCAGACCTGGCCCTGGGCTCTGCTGCCCACCGCTGTGGCCTTGGGTTTCTGCATCATCTTGGATAAACGGGTGAGGGCTGTGACTGCCTTGTGGGTCTTCACAAGGATAAATGAAGTGTGGTGCATCTGAGGCTGACCACTGGTTGCCGTGCCTGGCTCGCCAGCAACACAGTTCACGTGTGGGGACTACTGTGATGGGGGTCGTTATCCTAGGAAGCTGAGGAGCAGCTGTGTGCTCTCCTGGAGCCACTCCAGCTAGGGCTCTCATCTGGAGCTTCAGGGACTCCGCTTTGGGACAGGACAGTCAGGCAGCTCCATGGGCATCTCCTGAATTGGGGGTACCTTGAGTCGGTCCTGGGGGCTGAGCTGCCCCGCCTTCATCAGTCCCTCGAAGGATTCCACCTAGACACCAGGAGAGGAACGAAACAGGCTGCGTTAGCCCAGACCCTGGTTAACATTCAGCCGCATTCACACTTTGGCATGAAGATCAGGGTCTGGCCTCATGGCTTCAGGGTGGGAGTTTCTGTCCAGCAGAGAGTAGGTGCTGGAAAGGGGCTCTTACACTGGCAGCCCTGGTTAAGGAAATTATTAACGATAAAGCACTCATTCTGAGCAGGAAGGCCTCTGGACAGGGGAGGGGACAGACACAGCCTAAACGCTCCTCTGTGGAATGGTATGCAGCCACCAGAAACAGCAAGGCACAAGCAGATGCTCTCATGCCCAAACACCTCCAAGGCTTATTTTTCAGTGCTAAATGAAGGAACTGCAGTTTACTGTAGGCTGTCATGTATATAAAATATTTAGGAAATGGAAAGAATGAATATGTTTCCTTGTACAGTGGGACTGGTTCCAGGAACAACAGCTCCCTATGGAGACCAAACCCCGAGGATGCACAAGTCCTTATATAAAACGGCAAATGGTTTCCGTATACCCTACACGCATCCTCCACAGGGGCACGAGAAGGCTGACGTCTCACTGAAACACCCTTTGTGCCACGAGAGGGCTCTGCCACATGCACCTGTGACCTCTACTGAAGCTATCTCAATAAGAACAAGGCAAGGGGTATTTTGGGGCTCACTTTCAGAAGAGCACTAGATAAATGAAATATACAGAAATGTATGTACCATAATAATACTAGCATATACAATTTATGTAATATGTAGAAAGCAAATAGGAGCTACATATATAAAGTAAAATTTTATAGGAGGTACATTAAAAATGTAAAAAGAAGGCAAGCGTGGTGGTGCACCCATGTAATCCCAGCACTCCGGGAGGCTGAGGCAGGAGGACTCAGGTTCAAGCATAGACTGGGCAATTTAGTGACCTGAAGTGACCCTTCCTTAAAATTTAAAATAAGGGTGGGTGGTGGAAGATGTAGCTCTATGGGAAGGCCCTAGTTCAATCCATAGTGCTGTAAAAGAAGTGAAAAGAAACAGGAAAAGATAATTTGAATAATGTATTTTCAGAAGATTTTTTTTTTTTTTTTGTACTGGGGATTGAACTCGGGACCTTGTGGTTGCGAGGCAGGCACTAGAACCACTGAGCTATATCCCCGGTCAGAATAATGTATGTTCTTTAAATCCAAATATTTCAATAGGTAACCATAACAAAGCTACTAGCGAGGTAGTTTATATTCTTCTTTTACTCAAGTCTTTGAAGTCTGGGCTCTTTTACACTCAGAGCACATCCTCCTTCAGACCAGTCACAAGCCATGCACGCAACAGCCACCAGGTGCCACAACGTGGACCACAGAACTGCATTCCCACTTTAGGGTCGGCGACGAGGAAGCTAAAGCCCAAGGAGTAGTTAAGCACTTGGGGTCCAGCAGGACATTTTGTTTACTCATTTCACCCTCAGTTAATTTATTTTTCTCTACCCTTACTTCCCCTCTGACCCAGTTTCCTCACTTCTGTTTTCAGAATGTGGTTAAACGTTATGTATTTTCATAAGTGGCTTTAAGTACTTTTGGAATAAGGCCAAGCGTGTAGTTATAGAGACCTGCAAAAGCTCATAGTAAGTTGGAGAGTTTGATGACAACATGAAGACCTCTGAGAGGTCGCTGGGAGTTGATTTCTATGGTGAAATGGACTCAGACAGGGGCTGATTTGTCCTGAAGAGGAAAGGGCTGGTGGAGGCTCCCTTGGGCCACCCAGAGGCACCTTCAGATACAGCTGGAGAGATTGTAACAGGAAGCAGTGCCAAGGAAGTGGGCTCCAGCTAGCCCTGGTGACACAGAGGAGGGGGAGGAGTGGGTGGAGTGGGAGGAGGAGTGGGAGGAAGAGGAAGAGGAGCAGCAGGAGCAGGAGGAGCAGCAGGAGCAGGAGGAGCAGCAGGAGCAGGAGGAGGAGCAGCAGGAGGAGGAGCAGGAGGGGGAGCAGCAGGAGGAGGAGCAGCAGGAGGAGGAGGAGCAGGAGGGGGAGCAGCAGGAGGAGGAGGAGCAGGAGGAGCAGCAGCAG